ATTTGTTTGTATTTTTGAGACAAGGTATTGCTTTGTAGTTGAGGCTGCCCTTGAACTCACTGTGTAGTCCAGGTGGGCCTCAAGTTTGTGGCGATCCTCCTGCTACAGCCTCCCCAGTGCTGGGAGTGACAGAGTTGCTCCGCCCACGCTCGGGTGGTCTTTAAAGTAAGAACCCTTGTGGACAGCTGCTAGAAGCCAGGATGCCCTCAGAGACTTGGGCCGGTGCCTCCTCCTCGGCCGGAGCTAGCCCTCAGTGCGTGGACAGCACACTGGCTCACGGTGCTGTAGTTGTCCCTTGTGTCCCCAGGCCTCCAGACCTGTTCACAGTTGCAGGATGAAACCCACACATATTACATTTTGCCTGCCTGTACAGATCTGTGAGGCTGTTTAACTTATGAAGTGGACACAGTGAGAGTTGACAGTATGCCAGAAGTGGCAGTGTACCCTTGTCATCACAGCAGTAGTAGGCTGAGGTAGGAGGATCTCAAATTCCAGTCTAACCCAAGTGACTTGGGATCCGACCCTAGTACTGAAAAGAAATAATCTCTGATAACAGCACTAGAGAGAACACGTGTCACAGCTGTACGCTGTCATGAAAAGTTACGGGTGTGTGCTCTCCGTCCTCTGGGCTCGGCCTGCTGCTTGTGATCATGTGGGTGACTCTGTTCCTGGGGTGAGGTGCGGAGCTGAGTGACAGGCCCTGTGACGTGGCCCCGGGCTTGTTTGTCCCTGGAATTTTCCATGTGAGGCTCCCAGGCTGTGGCTGTCACAGGCCACCCAACTCTCAGGACCTGTGTGCGGTGCGGCCTTGGCGCCTTCCGCTTTGCTCCGTGAGGCTGTTGCTAAGTGCTGAGCAGTGACCCTGGGCAGAGAGGCAAGGTGGGGGTTCATGGGGCCCTGGGCGCACTGTCTTCACATGTGCACCGCCCAGGACCCTGCTATACCCGCTCTGGGCGCCTGCCGAGGCCCGTGAAAGCCAGGCCTGGCTCTGCCCGGCAGGTGTGGCTGGAGCCGTGTCTGCCATCGGGGCTCGGAACCTGATTGGCCAGCACAGCCCAAGAGGTCACGGGGGAGAAAAACCCAGGTCAGTGCAGCGGTGAGCACCTGCTGAGCTGCTGTCGGGCTGGACGTACACAGTTCCGGCTGGCGTTAGGAAGGGGTGACCATGGCTGAGCCCCCGGCTCCCTGGGAGGGCTCTTTGCAGTGTGGACAGTGACAAGGCCCTCCTTCTCTGCCCGCCTGCCAGGACCCAGGCACCTGCTGTCCATCCTCTCCTGGCCCTTGGGTTTTCAGCCCCCTCCGTGCTGAACTGCCACTACTGTGCTAGCTTCAAAAAAAGCAGTAGCAACCGTGGCACAAAAAATCGCGTGTCCTTAACTTCAGCAGTTGCTGCACTGCTCAGGGCTTCAGATCCTTCTGCTGGGGGCCCTAGTCAGGCCTTCCGGGCCCCTCTGCCCTCCCGCCCCATGGACACTGTGGTGGAGGCACACAGGAGCCAGTGTGGCAGAGGCCAGGCTGCCGGACCCCTCAGGCAGAAGTCAGTCTGGCAGGCAGTCTGTCTCTGGAGCCATCACCTAGGGGAGCAAGGCCCCAGGTGACGCAGTGGACCACAGGGAGCGGGGAGTCCAAAGAGCCCCCATGTCAGCGAGCCCAGGACCCCGAGCTTCGCTGTGACTTCTCTCCAGGTCTTTGCCTGACCTGGGATAGAGCCGTGGTGGTGCCTCTGTCTCAGTTCGGGCTGAGCTGGGCCGGACCAGACCAGGGATCCGCGGAGGCCCTGCCTGCCTCACCACCCCCAGGCTGCAGTTGACCTGACGCTGGCACCCGGGGCGCTCGCCTCGGGCTTCAGCGGTGTAGACAGAGGAACGCCAGGTCCTGCCTGTGTCCACACATCTGGAGCCCTGGTGACTGCGGACACAGGCCACATGGAGCCTTCACCGGGCTCCCTGCCCAGTTTGCCTGTCTGTCCCAACCTTGGGAATTATGGACTTACTGGTTTGAGAATTTATTTTGGCAGTGGGTGCAGTTTTAAGGACTTCGGACCTCGGCCCTGTCACCTCTTAAAGGTCCTCCGTGGCCCTGACCCCGATAGTGAGGGGTAGCCTTGGACGTGAATGTTTGGTGGCCGGGGATTCAGGCCACACCTGGGGTCGTGAGGTAACCTTGCTAGCTGAGGAGCTGTGTCGTGGGGTTTGGCTGGGATCCAGGACCGTGCACGGTCTGCCCAGGCCCCATCTCAGAGGCCTTCTCAGCTGGTGGGAGTGGAGCCCCCTTGTGTTAGCTTTCTGGTCACCAGACACAGACCCAACACCCAGAGCTCAAAGGAGAGGTTTGTTTGGCTCATGTTTTAAGACCGTTCAGTCCGTGGTCAGCCAGCTCCAAGGCAGGAACATCGCGCGGAAGGGCGTGGAGGAGCAGAGCCGCTTAGCTCACGGGGGCCAGGAAGCAGAGCCAGGACAGGTCAGAGAGGAAGCAGCCAGGGACCAGATGTGGACCGCAGGGGTCGCCCCTCTGTGACCCAGGTTGCAGCTGGAAGTGTGCTTCACAGGTCCCTGAGGCAGATCCCAGCCAGTCGGGAGGACCTCAGCCCTAACTGCCACAGCTGTTAGGCCAAGAGTGCCCTGGGTGCCCTGTTCCGAAAGCCAGCGTGAGGAGCCAGGGTGCGTTTCATCGAGGCTCCAGAGCCCCTCTCCAGCCCGAGCCCCCAACCGCGCGCTGCGTGGAGGAGGACGGTGATGTTTGGGGCTCATGCAGGGCCCAGTGGGGTTGTCGGTCTTCATTTTTTTTCGAGACAGGATCTTGCTGTATAGTTCAGGCTGGTCTTGAACTCCCTGTGTAGCCCAGCCTGGCCTCTGACTTGGGTGCGATTCTCCTGCCTCAGCCTCCTGAGTGCTGAGATTACAGGCATGCGCCACCATGCTAAGTGGTCACTTTGGGAAATGGACTTTGGGGGGCTCTGGGCCCAGAGAAGGGGCAGTACAGGTGGCGGCTGGGACCTCCGAGCCCTGTGCTCTGGCCGCACGGCTTGAACCTGTTTGACTGGGTGGTGGTGACGGCTCCTGGTCCTAGGTTCGCAGTGCCCACCTTGCCCAGGCACCGACCTTGGGACTCATGCGGGTGGGGAGGGCTCGGAGCATATCCCAAAGCCCACTGCAGGTGCCACAGTGTCTCCTTCTCTCCCTGCGCAGTCTGTGTCCTGGAGACCAGGACCAGGGCTCTGGCGGGAAAGTGAGATGGTGGAGGCTGCATCCCAGGAGCGACGCTGCTGGTCGGCCACGTCTGTGTGTGTGTGTGTGTGTGTGTGTGTGTGTGTGTGTGTGTG